TTTTGCCAGGAATTAAACCCATATTCAATCCCGACCAGAAATAACCTATTTATTTCCATAATACATTCCTCTAAAATGTTACATTTTGAAAATGCTTTTATCAATTAGCCAAGGTTAAAAATCGCAGGAAAACCAAAAATAGGTTAATACGTTCCAATACGATTTTTTCCCGGGGACAATACGATTTTTTCATGCAATACGCTCCAATACGATTTTTTCCAGGGAACAATACGATTTTTTCATGTAATACGATTCAATACGATTTTTATTCCTTCATATTTCCCTGGGCTGGGAAAACAGCAGTATTATGGAATAATGTAGGATATTGTGATACCTTCAGTTTGGTATCATTAACAGCTTTCAACTCTCAAAACTGTCAGTGGAAGTTATTGTACTTTGAAATGATTAACATCAATTCTCTCACAAGAAGTGCCACACCCCTTTTCAGTAGCATAATCATGTGTCTGACAATGTTTTTTCAAAACTTTCAAGTGCATATATGTTCAAAATTAATGTACCTATATATTTAAATTCATTTATGTCCATGAATGACTAAGACTGATCAATCAGGCGAAAAGGTATAATGCGATACCGTTGTAAAGAGGCAAGAATTATGATTGATGATGTCACATTTTATGCAAATGAGACAATTTGCATAATTATAGCATCTGATAATATAGGATAGTATAATAGCTTCATTTTGGTACCACTTACAGCTTTCAATTCTCAAAACAGTAGAAGTAATTGTACTTTGGGATAATTAACATCAACTTTTTCAAAAATTCAAGATGGCCGACAAGATGGCTGCCAATGAATACCATGGGACAATATTCCATTCTGGGAACATGCAAAAATCTTTAGTATGAACCTTTAGGATTACAAAAAGGTACATTAAAAAATACATCTTTCGGGTGCACGGGGACCATACCTTCCTACTAGACTTCTGCCTTTATAGTAGAATTTATGCGTTTCATAGATACACTGACTGTAGAAGAGCTTTTAATGGACCTTCAAACTAAAAATGAGAAGTCAGTCTCTGAGAAATAGAACTCAAAATGTCTCAAAATGCAACATTCAGTTTACATGCTGACATGATGTCCCACCTTAATGTTTGTGTGGCTATATCATTAGCTGAAAGATTGGGTGGCCATACTGGTTTTTCACTGATGACTGCAACTGTTAAGCATTACCTGCCATTTGCGTTTGTAAATCAAGCCTCATCCTATGGGCCATATTGCAGTATGTTACTCCATGAGCTTGATTGTGAACTTCTCAACTGATACTAAGCGGGAAATTCAGAGCTGGGTCTACTGTTGAGACAGTTACAAGGAGAATGGCTGTAATTGACACCATAGAAGGGACAGAAAAAAATTCTGAAAATTAAAATGTTACAGATGACCTTGGGTGGCGTTACACAGACAAAGACGACTGCCATATTATACCTGTTGCTGATATGTAGGACGGGAGCAATATCCTTAAAGCCTGAACAGTTGCCAATTAACGCATATTCTGAGAGAGAGCAACGTCTCACCCCTCAGTTCTAGATGAAAACAGCTACCCTGCAGGATTATATATCATGCGTATATCTTTTTGCAAAGAAAATTTATTTTCTTTTAACAATGATAATTTACCTGACCCAAGCATGGTAGAAGGCCACAGAGATATGATACTTAAAGTAAAACGCTCCACATGTATAACACTGAAAAGAAATGCTTTAATGAAATCAGTTCCTACTACAGAAATTGATAGAAGGGAGCAAAATAGGGGGGAAATCATCCCGATACATCAATAAGAACTGTGAACAAAGCAAAGGGAATCCAAAAAGCTGTGCCAATGGTTCTTAGCGAATATAACTGTAATGAAGAGGGGCTCATCACAACACTTAGAAAAACTGAGCAAATGAAATGTCCTCTTGTTGAAACAGTTATTATTGAATTTGCAGGGGTTCAATTCACGAAAGGAGCTTCAAAAAGCTCTGCAGTGTCAGAGTATGTCAAAAATGTGGAGACTGGAGTTCTTAGACCTGTCATGGCAAAATTTCCAGAGGCTACTCAGTTGATTGTTTGTGGGGAAAAATATAAGTTTACACCTGACTTATTAAAGACTTATTCAAGATCAAAACGGATGACGAAAGGCAAAGAGCAACAAAGTAACTACATTGGTCACCTTAGGAAGGATGGAGAAATTATTTCCACAGTGGTACCAAAGAATATGATCAGGACCACTGTAGGACGTTCCGAGATGAGCAAATGGCTAGCAAAGAATGCTGAAAAGCGTGTTCTTCACAAGGCAATTAAAATCATCTTTGACAGTGAGTTGTATGTTGAGGGTCATTTAAGAGCGTGTGAAAGAGAACCCTGTGAATGCACCACAAAATATGCTGTGCCAATTGAATGTTCCTATTGAGCCAATGTCAACTTTCCCTCCCATTTCGAGAAAAAGTCACCAGTGTCTACCAACGCAAGAGGGAAGATGAAATGCCCCAGACAGATTAGCTTTGACATTCCCTAGAAAGCCTTCAGGATGGGAATGGCATTGCCAGTTATGTAACTTCAGGAGACATTGACTCACTAGTCATACATTTGTTTTTTTGTCTCACTGAAGTGGCCATGTAAGGGTGATGGAGGGTTTATTCATCCCATATACCTCATCCTCAATAAGCCAACATCATATACAATTTACAATGTCACTAATATTGTAGAGCAATAGAAACTACAAGGGCAATTCCCATTCAACATTTATACAAGCAATTTTTAGCAATCTTGACCAATTCCAAGACTTGGTGAAATTGCGTCTTGGTGATGGCTCCCTCAACATAGAATTATATGTCAAACTTATACACATCATTTACCGCCCAAAGCGCCAATCTGCCAACAGTTCCCATTAAACATTTCTAATTCTGCAATGATGAGCAAAGGGCAGTATACAAACCCTGACACATGGCTACCTCCTGAGCATGTGATACGTAAAGTAGGAGGATTGGTCAATTTAAAAATTGAATGCCTGTTTAGTGCTGGCATTCATGATGCACAACTTCCCGACTACCTCGGATAAGGATTATTAAAAGTGGACGAGGATGGGAAAACATCCTATGGCTTTGGACCCGAAAGTTATTATAGAAGTCACGGCACCGACAATTTCAATGACTCCAAATAACAGCCCTCAAAAAGCACCAGCAAAAAGGATACTGACAGTTACACCTCGAAAAGGAAGAAAGAAATTAAAGATAACATAACTGTATAATGAGTGTATGTTTTCGACAATATGATTTTGTAGCCAGTCCTACGTAATGTTACATTTTAAAAAAGATTGAATCCCATAATATTCGAATCTACGAAGTTTTATATTGTTTTATTCATTAATGGTTTGTTCACAATTATTTGACTAATATTGTATCAATTACATATCTCACTCATATTTTACATTCTGTGATGTTGTTAATATTCCAGACATATTTTTTATATTATGTCATGCTTTATATAAATTATATTTTTGTATTTTGTAGTTTGTCTAGTTGGTAGTTTGTAGTTTGTCTAGCATATTGTACAGTATCAGTGAGAATATTTGATAATTCACCTTTTCTCATAAACGTTTGTATTATAATTGTGCACAATTAAGATATTTTATTTCCAAGTCTCAACCGGCAACAATTCTTAAATGACATTGTGTGAAGATTTTTTATTTTTATTTTTAACTTGTAAAACTGCTGAATCACATTTTAATGTCTTTGTGATAATTGATATATTTTGCTTTTGACTTGTAAAACTGATCAATCAACTTTAATATAACGCATGAAATCATGGATTTAGCCAGTATGCTAAAAGTTCAATAAAAGACATTTAGATAAAACCTCCATATAAAATTGTTGTATTTTGTCTCTTCTCAAATGGTATAAACTGCTTGATTTGAATATAAGGTACAAATTCAATATGTTGAGTACACTGTATGATTGTGTTTAAAAGTTGAATATAACTGATGTATGTATGACATAAACATTTCTATTCAGTACTGTAACCATATTTAGACCAGAAAAACACTCTATTAATGACTTAATTTGTGCATGGAGGTCCGCTTACTCAACCAACTGCAGTAATATATGAAAAATAGGATGTACCTTGTGAGCTAGACTGTACTGTGCTTGTGTAAAATAAAACTCAAGGTGACCTCAATACAATTTTGAAGTTTTAAATAAAACTTCACGCAAGGACAACCTTAACAACAACACAAATGATTTATCTGTATTTTATTCTATTATACTAGTGATGATCATGAATCTAGAAAACGGTTTATGCACCGTGCAACGGTTTATGCATGCTTGTATAATGTAAAACGTTTTTAAGAAAAATAATCAACAAGGAAGTAATACACCGATTAAATCAATCTAGCCGTTTCACACCAGAATAGCCTGACAGCGGTTAAGTCAGATACCGTTGTCACAAATGGCGGACATAACCGTCGCTTCAACTGTTTCATCACTTGGTCCTTATTTCATGGGATTTTATCGTCGCTAATTCTGTGCATGTATTAAGCTGTTGGGATAATGTATCATATGAAATCCAATTTTCGATCAAATTGGGTCGTGTCTCTCCACAATATAGCATCTTTGATATCGTCGATTACAACGGAATCTGATTTTGAGTAATTTTTAAAAGACAGCAGCATATGGTAATTACAGTGTCCTTTATCCCGTATCTCATTTTGATCGGTTAAATCAAATACTTTTTTCGATGGTAGAACATTATTAACTGTACAATGAGTAATAAGACACGACTCTGATTGATTGTTGTTCCAACGGAATTTAATCTAAGTGAAGTGCTCTATTAAACATACAGTTCATGAAAATCTAATTAAAGCGACGGTTATGTCCGCATTTTGTGACAACGGTATCTGACTTTGCCGTTGTCAGGCTATTCCGGTGTGAAACGGCTAGATTGCGCACAAATGCATTGTACTAAAAGTGATTTTAATCGGTGTAGTACTTCCTTCTTGGGTGCGTTTAGAAATAGAGAAAGATGTTTATTATTATCCGATATATAAAATGCTGGACATTCATCTTTACGGGTAAGTGTGAAATATGTTGCAATTTTGGGTAATGTACAATACAATGTATAATTAAATCTTGGATTCATCTGATGACGTGGCGCCTTTTTAGTGTAATGATGGTTCTTTTTTCGTCGAATCCAACTGTTACACAGTAAGCATTATGTAACTTGCGAAAAGCTCTACTTAGTAATGACATGATGTTGCCAGCAGATTTAGTACGAATTTTAGACACTCTGTATCACATATATTTCAACTATGAGGTGAACAAGCAATGCAAACTTTTGAGAATGTTACTACAAATTGAATCATCCTTAATACAGGAGAAGACCGGGTTTTTTCGTTTATCATATCAGAATCGCAATAAAAGACAAAATGTTTTTTATATAATAATTCTATAACATAATTGTAAGGTATCACAAAACGAATATATTTCATAGACAATTTTGCAAGTTAGCAACGTATCAATTTTAATCTGTGGAGTTGTCATTAAGTTGTCATCTTGACTATGTTTGGGCTGTCTATGTCAATAATCTGCAAAGGGCTAATAAGCCCAGCAGATATAAAGCAGGGTTGGTTGGAATTGGAATGAAGTGTTCCCTGCGCTTGGTTAGATGTCCAAGGGCAGTTATCTAGTTTGATTAGAGAATTTCTTGGATTCGTATGAAGTTTATATACATATTTTACTTTTTCAGTTGTATCATGCCTTGATATTCAGATAGACAATGCAGGAGGTAATATAGTTAAACAGCTGGGCCAGAGCGTTGAGCTTCAGTGTAATGTTTTGTACATTGATGCATCTTCAGCAGATATAGTTGGTAACCCTGCGACTTGGGAGAAACTGTCCCGTCGAGATAACCCCTTGTATACTATTGTCTCTACTGGTTCAAATAAAAGAGCTGGTGTACCTGATCGCATCGGTGTTGACTTTGGTGATTATTCAACATCAATTCCAAATACAAGTGGAATAAAATACTCACTCAAGATAACAGGTAAATACAAGCTTTTAAACATACATGCTAGTACAAATGAATTTGCAGTTGAAATTCTGAACATTTTCGAATTGTATATATTCAAGAACAAATGTCATATGCTTTTTGAACAATTCTATATTATTTATTTCTTTACATCTGTAAATGAGATAAATAAGATAAAAGAGCACCAATTTTGGAAGATCAGACGTTGTTCAGGCGAATTGATTGCGCTTTCCTTTACTCTTTTTGTTAGATATTGTCATCTGGTCGCTGGGCAAATGACAGAAATATCAAGAATGAAAAATTAACTGGGCATTATTCCCGCTAAATTGACCATTTTTAGGAAAGGATGATACCACGAAACCAAACTTCACCATACTATGAGTATTTAATGATCTGCATCGAATTGACCAAAGCCCAATCTTTATTATACACGTACAATCCCATAGCCATGATGTTGCAGGGCAAACTCACTGTTACTGTAGGATGAGTCTTGTTAGTCTTGTCGTAGATACTATGAAAACGAAACCCTTCACTACATGCAAATTGATCTCCTCTGTTATTTTTCTTATTAGGACTTGAAGCAGGAGACAATGGAACATACGCCTGTCTGGTTGGAGATGTGAAAATAGAGTACAATCTCCTTATTCCGTGTAAGTTAAACAACTAAGATATTCATGTGATATTTTTGACACCGTTTTAAGCACATCCACAGATATAATCTGTTTTAAGTGTTCTTGCATGGGTCAATTCCACAATTTCTTTTTTTCAAAGGGCTTTGTGCCAAACTAGATGAAAGTAGTACCTAGAACTCATGTATACTTTTGGTTTCAATGCATTTAAGCTTCAGTTGAGACAGTTATACTTGATGATTCTAAGACCAACGATACGTCTCAACTGAAAACATTTGAGTACACTGAAGGTGAAACCAGATCTCTCAACTGCACAAGTCATGGTGGTTCACCAGATGCAAAGGTATATATATCATTCATCAGAGTTTTCAATTTTTTGATGAGTGTAGGCAGAATTTGCCAAAATATTTCCAGTTTTGGCTTTAGATCAATGTCTGAAGAATCTTAATATTTTTTAGAAAATAAATAATAATCAGCCTTGGTATTTTAATTTCATGATTTTAACAGCTTTTCTGATATGAATTTATTCGAGAAAGCCTTACATTTTTACTATTAGATGTTTTTGCAAACCAGTAGAGGGATATAAGCTATTTTGTCATTGTGCGCCAGTAGCAGTATAATATATTATCACATACTGTGTACAAATCTACTGATTCAATTGGTTACTTTCTATGACATAAATTTCATATGATATGAGCACACGTTGTCTATGGAAATGACGTCATACAACTTCATTCTGTTCTTTCCTAATTAAATTAAACTAAATTGCATCAAATTATTATTTCACTAGATTTCTACATATAGTATGTGATAAAATCGTCATCACACGTTTCAGCGTTTGTGATACGGGAAATATTCCACTCAGTAAAAAAGTATCACCACTCAAGTTGCGCTTTCGTGGTGATACAAGTTTTACTTTTATGGAATATTTCCCGTATCTGATGCTGAAACGTGTAATAACTGATATTATTATATCACTATCTAGCTAGCGACAGTATGATTGGTCAAAACCGGGTCACATTTCATGGGATATCTGGCGATATTCAATGGCAATGCTAATCAGATAAGACAACCGTGAGATACCCTTAAGAAAAAAGCCATGGTAACCATGGTATTCCATGGTGCATCCATGTTATTTTCCATGGAAATTCATGGACGCCCATGGTAATCTTCCATGGATATTTACCATGATTTTCCGTGGTAATTGGTGGTTTGATAATTGGTTTTTAATGGATGTGTCATGGGCGGCTTTTACCATGACACATGGAGATGTAAAATCAACAATTATGGTAGGATTTGTATTTACCAAAATCTCCAAAATGAATGTTTTGATGATATATCCCAGTTGGACTGAGACTTATCATAGAGAAAAAAGGGTGGACAATTCATTTTTTAGGTTTAGCTAGAATGTTCATTGAATGTTAAACTCAGCTTCCTTACAAATTAGAAAATATGTGAAAATTATATAATTTTTTTATATAGAAATATGATAGTGCAGTTAATGCAGCACAGAGTAGGCCACAAGATATCAAAAACAATTGTGCAAAGGGCTTTTGTGTAGATCAAGACTAGATAGAGATTGCTTATTGTTTAGGCAAAACACTTCTTTCCTTTGAAAAAGATTAAGTCAAACTAGCCCAAGCTCTGTTTTTATTTCAATACTTTCTTTAATTTTCAGTTTTAAAAATCAATATGAAATAAATTAATAAATAAATTTTTTAAATTACATTTCGTACATTTGAGAATACAATCAAAAACCATGGTTTCTTTCTTTGAAGTTGAGGAAACTGCAATCAAAAGCCATGGAAGTCGGTTGATTGCAGTCGAAAGGCATGCTTTTCCATGATTATTTCTTTGATGTTTCGGAAAGTGCAATCAAAAGCCATGGTTTTCCATGGTTATTCTTTTGATCTTTTGAAAGTCCATGGTTTTCCATGGGCTATTTGTTTGGTCTTTTGGATGCAGAAAAAAGAATAAAACATTTTGTTTCTAAATGAACTTCTCCAAATTAAGTCCCATTCAACCTTTATAAGAATATTATCTCTCAAATTAATGTTAAAAAATTAATATCTTTGCAACAGATTATAATAGTTCATTTGCATAATTCTTAAATATTCTGATCTTAATTGTTATTATATATGATAATCTTACTCTTTCTAATGCTCCCTCTTCAGTAATTATTATTGACGGTGAGTGTAGACAGTGCAAGTCAAAAACTCATTGTTGATCAAATAAAACCAAATAGGATTTACTCCAAATAAAAATGTTTATTCAGTCTGCAATAAGGGAATCCAGTGAGCTGATTTTATCACTCATTTTGTCTTTTTTTTTACATCAGTGCCAAAGTTAAATGAAAGCAAATCCCAGCAAACAAATTATTACTTGTAATTGTGGGGTCAAATCATCAATTAAAAAAATATTAAGTAAAAAGTTCTTTGTCATATGACACTATGTACAGAATGTACAAACATATATTCAGATTGTAAAAACATGGTTGTATTTCAGGCCTGAAACCAACTTTTGTCAAGAAGGTTGACTTTCTCAAAAATTTGAGGGGGAGGGGCATCATATTCTTCTCTCTATGATTAGTCTCAATCCAGCTTGGATTCATTCGTTAAAATATTGATTCAATTTTGAAGATTTTGGTAAAAACAAAACATGCCAAAATTGTTGATTTTACAACTCAAGTGTCATGGTAAAAACATGGCATGTCCATGAAAAAACAATTACCAAACCACTAATTACCACGGAAAATTATGGTAAATATCCATGGAAGATTACCATGGGTATCCATGAATTTCCATGGAAAATACCATGAAAAACCATGAATTTCCATGGAAAACCATGGATTACCATGGACGCACCATGGAATACCATGGTTACCATGGCTTTTTTCTTAAGGGTATCTAGCGATATCCCACGCTCCCGGGAATTTTCAAAGAATTTGTTTTCTTTCAGTGTAAATAATTTTGTTCAGTATAAGTCAAAATGGCAGACGAACCGAGTAGATTCGTAAAAATATCTTAAGACGATGCTAACCTATGACTTAATAATATTAGGGATGTTTAGCTAGACAGTGATATAATAAAACAAATATTCGGGCTTCGTGGAATATCACTTGTGAAAGATGTACAGGTATTCACCGAAAATAGAGTGAAATATTTGTTCAATATCATTGCATTCGATTATAGTTCTTATTATTTTATTGATACAAAAAATCATTGTTTGTTCTCTCTTGCCTTGGCGTATTTGACACCCAGGTTGTGTCAACTTTGGCTGAACTGATAATCAACCTTCATGTTTTATTTATTATCATGAAGCTAGTGGTAACCTTTGATGGTGTTGATAAGACAGATGAAATGGATTCCTATCAAAAATGGTACTTGGAGAACCCTGAAAGTGCCTTTGAAGCGGCTAAAGTCGCAGTTAGCCGGTAAGTGTGATTTTACAGTCCAAAAACAAGACATATGGTTCACATTTTCTTCAATTGAAGAATGAAGCAGATCTGAATGTAATATTGAAGCATAGTATCATTTTTAGTGGTTGTAAATTAAAGGAAGAATCTGATCTATATTAGTTGACAAAATTACAAGCAACAATAATTGAACTACCAATCTATTCCTAACAATATCAAATACAATATCTCCCAAAAGATTCGCAATATGTTATAAATTGGTGAAGCTTTTTTAAAATGATGCAAAGTGCAAAAATGTTTAAATTTTCCCAAATAATAAGAATGGTAACCATTCTTATGGATAAATAATACATTATTGTAAAAAGCTTTCGTTTTCCTGGAATAAAGTATGCACTTTTGTGATTTTAAGAAAATAGACATGGCAAGGAATGACATGAGCCAAAAAAATTCTGAAACTGAAACAACTTGTTGACATTACAGTAGTACAGGTGTGTTGCTGTGCACTGGAGACATTCAGTAAAATTACGATTTATCTTCACCCTGATGTCCAATCAAAATCATTCGAGTATCTATGCGTCTGACACGTTTGGGCATCCGGTAATGACAACGTCTACCCCAATGTTTGCACGCGAAATTGAAATTCGTGACTGAAATCGGGATGACAAAAATATGTGATATTCTTTCAGAATTATTTATAATAACTATTTACAAAAAAATGTTCCCGAGACACGAATCTATTTAGGTAAGGTTTGTCTGGGGCGAAAGGCCCCAATAAGACAATACAGACCCAGATAAAACCCGGAAGACTGCAGCTTTCGTGTAATGATTTACGTTCATGTAAACAAGTAAAGTACACATAATCCCCATATAAAACACTGGGCTGCGTGACACGTAATAATATGTTCAAACTGAAATATAGAAAATTTTCAACATAGCATTTGCTTCCGTGTTCTGTACACTGTATGCTCCTCTACCTGCTTAATAAGGCAATGTATCTTCAAATAAAACCTGAGCCAAGTAGATCAGAGTCTCTGGAACACTTTTGTAAATAGTTTTCACAAGCAATTTTGTTTGTGAACCTCAAATTTTGTCTTCCCGACTTCAGTCATGAATTATGTCAATTTCGCGTACTTTGGGTAGACGTTGTTATTCCCGGACGTCCAAACGTGTCAGGAACACAAAGATACTTGAATGGTCTTGATTGGACATCAGGTTGCAGAGAAATCGTAATTTAACTGAGTGGCCTCACGAAAAAATAAAAACTAAGGCTATACGCCTCGTTAAACCATTTCCTGGCATTCATATTTCAAAATACCTTTGAGAACATTTTTGAGACACACTTCTAGTATATTCCTGGCATTGTGATTTGTTTAAAATAACCAATGACGGTATAAGCATCTATATCTTTTTAGTTCTATGAACTATACGGCAAAGAAAGAGGATAACCTAAGGACAATACGATGCACAGCTAGTGTAGATGGGTTGCCCAGCAATGACAAGTTTGCAGAAGCAAAGATCCGCATTCAATGTAAGGAGACAAGACTTTAAAGTTCATGGGAAAGATTCTTGTTTTTTGTCACCAAGCTTTCAAATCTTTCAGACTTGCACGTTTCGCTTATTATGTTTTCAAAATATTTGCGAATGGTTGTCAAAAAGTTATTTCACAACCACCATTAGAACGGGAAACCATATTGTTTACTTCTTCTTGAAATTTTCGTTCCCTACTTGGTGACCAAAAACAAGACTATTTCCCCTATCATCCTATAGCATTACAATGTTCTTGTTAATTTTCGTTTTCTATCAGATGTATAAATATGTGAGTTTAGTAGCCATTTAAAGGTCACTAACTATGGTTCATAGAATTGAACCAATGAGATCGCGGATCAAATAAACAAACAAACAAACAACGAATCCCGTGAACCATTCAGATGGTGTGTTTGTTTTTGAATAGGAAAAGGTCCACTTCTTAACTTTTGAAGTCACGCAATCTGTGTTGGATATCTTGTGGATAATTGGGAAATAATAAAACATATATTGAATTCTTTTGAATATCTTTATGTATTTCTGAAGGGTATATTTACCTCGCTCTTCTTGTTGCGATGAATGAACCCTCAGAAATACACAGGATAGGCAATAAAAACTGATCACTTTGTATCACTCTCAGAGGTATGTATGACTAAACAGATAAACTATGTGTTATATACCAAAATATTGAGAATTTAATCAGCTTGAATAAGACATAATATTGTGTGACGTAAGTTTAATGATTTGGAAATTGAGTCAATTTTGATATGATGATGTCACAATTCACAAAAAACAGATTTTACTGTTTTGGGGCCCGTTTTGGAACCATTTACACAAGATGCAAAGTTAACATTAGTTACTATGTTAACAATCACAATCTTGTCAATCATGTCTTAGCTACAAATAACAATGACACTTTGCCGAGATATGAGTAAAATTATGGAAAATAGGGAGAAATGATAGAAATAGTTTAGTAGGGAGCAAAGGTCCGAATTGCGTCTCTCTGAAATCATTTTTTGAAAAAAAAAATCTTTTCTCAGTCACCAGGATTACTAGGTCTAGTCCCAAGCTCTTTATATGAATTTTATCACCACATTTTATTTCCTTTTGAAATTGAAAATGCTATATAAGAGATTGAATGTGTGAAAACGGCTCATAATTTGTTCCTCTTGATGTACCCACTATTGGCTAATAATAGTCAACCTTCATGAGGGCTATCTGCGTGAATCTTTCTAAGATACTGAAGAAATTAAAAATACGTATTACCTCAAATAGGGGGCGGTGGCGGTGTGTCGGTGACACAAATTCTATTTGAAAATGTATATGTTTTCGGTACATGGGGATTCTTGCTTCCTACTAAACTAAATAAATAAAAGTCTGCAATTTCGAAAACTGTTATTTAGGTAACGCGTCACATTTTTGCATTTAGAAAAAATAAAGAAAACTTGCATTGTTTGATTTGACATTTTATGAACATACACAGATATATTCAGATATTATGCTCCCTAATTTGTATGACATTTGGTTCATATTTTATTTGGTAATAACTGGGATATAGATTGTTGAGAGGGCTCACTTGCATATGTATTTTGGTATTTACTCGGAGGGAGTAAACATACAGTTCATAGCAATGGACAATTTGATATTTCAAGAGGGCAGGGGAGGTAAGTATCATGTTTCTCTAGAAATGAAATATTAACCTGGGTCAATATACAAACATTTTCCATTTTTCAACGATTTTAATTGTTTTCTCCAAAACGTTTTATTTAATGAAAAAACACTTCCAATAATTATTTTTTCAAACATTTACATTTTTGGGTTTTAAATAATCTTAATTATGTTTTTGCCCTTAAATTGTCAATGTACGTTAGAATGGGATAATATGTAAGAATAATATTTCTAAGATTTACTCACTTTTTTGTCTCATTCAACAGAGGATTTCAGGTAGATTTAGTTCTTGGCAATGGTATAAAGTCGTTTTTTAGCTGTCGGGGTCATATGGGTAATATCCCTCGAATGATATCGATATTTTGATATCATCCTTGTGGCATTCCCCATATCAAATTCCTCCAGGTGAATCACTACTTTATACATTACTTTTTCTAGAAGTCGATCGTGATGAATGTGAGATAATATAAAAGATCTATTTTTAAAATGGCATCACAGACATTGCACGTCCTCTTTGAAGCTAGGCAGATGATATGTCGCTCCATTATCACCCTTGGTATACGCAGCTAACGAAAATTGACCGGTACGGGTCAAAAGCTGGACCGGTACGGGTTAACGGTTTTATTTGAATTTAAAACAGCCATAACTTACTCAATATTGACTTCCTCGTGTCTAATTTGAAATATATGATGCCTCCCGATACTTTTAAGTACCCGAATTTTTTTACAGATTTTTAAACGGACCAAAACTCTCTTAATGCGCATTTATGCTCTTTTCTCTCGAGAACGACTGTCTCATTTTCACGATTACTTTTATTTAGTACTTCCAACATATAAGATCTATTTTTCCCCATCAAGGTATGATGTAAATGACATGCTATTTACATCTTGTGAGTTTCAATGACGCGCGTTTGATTTTATAAAAAATGCCAAACTTTGTGACAAAGAATTTCCTCCTGCTTGCAGCGAGAAGACGGACCGGTTCGGGGCAATAGCACACATGTATAAAGATTCCTAAATTATGTTCATGCCTTCAAAAATGCTCTTATTTTGTGATTTTTTCACATATCCCTTTCATTTTTTCAGAATATGTAGATTATGTAATTACACATACAATGCTAAAATATTATAGCTATATCTTAAATTAATTTTGAAATAAGGTTGCCATGGTTACCTGTATTTATGGTAGGCAGGTCAGTTAAATTATAATGTATGAAATAGATAAATTTGTTAATTTAATCATTCCTCGGTACCTATTTAAAGCAGATCAAATGCATCAACCAGTCATTGCCAACTATTTGTTGAACTTTCCCATACCCCTGTTGCCCTTGTTTGCTAATTTCTACAGCGGGATAGTTCTCTCTTCATAAGTTGCATCTCAATTTATCGTAGTGTTATTCTCTGTCCATGAGCTCTTCGTTCTTGCAACCAGATTGTGGATAATCTTCAACAGTTACCATGCCTTCCTCTTTACAATAATACCTATAGATTCTTTAAGCAGATATAACACCTTGCCCATACATTTAACAAGTCCATATTTCTCTGACAGTGTCTTCTTACTTATTCTTGATAGTACTTAAAATCTAATGGTACTCCTAATGTATCTGATAATCTCACACTCTGCATCAGCCACAATAACTTCATCTGACATTTTGATTTTTGGTGTGTCTCATGACATGTAATGTTAACTGGCCAGTTCTGTCATACATTGCTTTTGTGAGTTGTTGTAATGTTATAGTGAGTACAAATAAACATTTGTTAAGCAGCAAACAACGAGCAACAATACTAAACTTTTTAGAAAAAATGTTTATTTCCCCATGCTTTAAAATAATTAAAATAACAAGTTATTATGATATTTTATATGTTTTAATTTGATTGACCTGCCTACCCTTAATACAGTAGCACCCTATTTCATTAATAATTTAAGACATAGCTATAATATTTTAGCATTGTATGTGTAATTACATAATCTATAATGTATATCATTAATAGGTAGCACCGTTTTACGTATACAAAAATACGAATAGTATTTTAGAGTATCTCATAGAAAATAGTGACCTTATTGGCCCCGGGTTCGATTCCCGGCTCAGACAAGTTTGTTTGTGCGTTATGTAATTCTGGGTGTTTGACTGAGTGGTTCACGACTCGTATAAAAGGCTGTGGTGTGTACCTGTATGTCTGTGTACCTGTGCACATAAAAGAAAACAGGGCTCCTCCAAGGAGGGGTTTCTGGCTCTATCTTCGAGTGTAAAATACGTAAAATACGGAATATACCAATGAGGTATTGCTCGCCAAATATGGCGGTAACCAAGATATAATAATAATAACTAGACATGTAAATTGAACAAGTTCAATTTAAGACTCCAGATTTCAGACTTTTTTAAGCTGAGTCATCCAAATACTAGTAAGCTGAGTCATTCAGAATAAGCTGAGTCAGCTAGAATATAGACATTTAGACAACTCTTAAGAATGTTATCTTCGACTCCATTGGCTTAACATGGGAATATCATCATATCGACTTTTCGAGACTTCAAACCGCTATAACTATCTAACCAGTAGTTGGATCGAAATTTGGTTTGCAGATTCTGATTCCTGAGAAAATTCTACCCTTAATCGATAACTCATACGTTAAATTTGGAGAACTTTTTATTTTGACCTACTTTTCGGACACCATATCTTAAAAGTGGGTCAAAATACTTTCTGACGGCAGAAAGCTAACACTATAAGCACACTCTTTGCTACCTGTATACAAAATTTTGAAGTAAATTATTAAAGTGTAGTGTCAGAATCGCAAAAATAAGGAAAAACTATGAATTTGACCTAGATTTTGACCTAGGCATTTTGGTGTCCAAATTTTAAAGCTAGATAGCCTTCGAGGTCCCCTTCTTTTATAGGCTTTCAGAATGTTAAGCTGTACTCAGTTTATATCTGGTATTTTACATTTCAAAAAAATCTTTTTTCTCATTGACATAACATGGGGCACCAAATTTAGCAATTTTTGAGCTTTCAAAACGCCATAACTTCCGAACCGAAAGTCGGATTGAAATTTGGTTTGCAGATTCAGATTCCTGGGAAAATTCTTCCTTTAATTCATAGCTCATATGTTAAATTTGGAGAACTTTTTATTTTGACCTACTTTTGGACACCATATCTCAAAAGTGGGTCAAAATACTTTCTGACGGCAAAAGGCTAACACTATTAGCACACTCTTTGCTACCTGTATACAAAATTTTGAAGTAAATTATTAAAGTGTAGTGTCAGAATCGTAAAAATAAGGAAAAACTATGAATTTGACCTAGATTTTGACCTAGGCATTTTGGTGTCCAAATTTTGAAGC